CAGGCAATCCACTCACCTCAGCCTCCCAAAGGCGCAGGATTACAGGCTGAGCCACCGAGCCCGGCTCATACTGGTTTTTTTTTGAGCTGGTGTCTCACTCTGTTGCCCAGGCTGGCGTGCAGTGCATGATCATGGCTCACCGTAGCCTCCACCTCCTGGGTTCAGATGATCCTTCCACTTCAACCTCCAAAGTAGCTGGGACTACAGATGTACGACATCATGCCTGGCTACTTTTTAAAAATTTTTTGTAGAGATGAGGTCTTGCTATGTTGACTAGGCTGGTTTCAAACTCCTGGTCTCAAGCAATTCTTCTGTCTTGGGTTCCCAAAGTGCTAAGATTATAAGCGTGAACCACCACACCTGGCCAGAGACTATGCTATTTATCAAATAATATTTGAGTGTTTCCTATCAAAGTGATAAAATGACTTTTTTAAAAGTAACAATGGCTTATACTATCAAAGCTACAATAAAAGGGATCTTCTCATATCCCACAGATGTGAACATGGAATGAACATCTCTGGTAGGCTAATGTGGAAATATGTCTCAACAGTCCTTAGACACCCTAACAAATACTGACTCAATAATTCCATTCCTAGTCACCTAGCCTAAGGAGACAAAAAGAGATGCAGACAAGTTTTATAGTGAGAGTGTTGGACTAAAGTGCTGTTTACAACAGTGAAAAAATTACAAAGATCCTACATGTACAAAAACATAGAAATGTTCACATGATGAAGTATTATACTAAATATTTTCTATACTGGATTTCTTCTTCCCTAAGAATATTTTGTATTTTAATGCCATTATTAGTCTTTGAAAACTTGATTTATAATGGCAAAGACTTTTTTTTTTAATTCTCTAGTCATAGGACTTGATGAGGTAAAAACCTAATGGGTTTGAGACTATTAAAACACCTTATAAGATGAATAAAAGCATAATGTGGCCAGGCGCGGTGGCTCAAGCCTATAATCCCAGCATTCTGGGAGGCCAAGGTAAGAGGATTGCCTGAGCCCAGGGGTTCAAGACCAGTCTGGGCAACTTGGTGAGACCTCCTCTGTACAATATATCCAAAAATTAGCTGGGCATGGTAGCATATGCCTATAGTTCTGGCTACTTGGAAGGCTGAGATGGAAGAATCGCCTAAGCCCAAAGAGTCGACACTGGGGTGGCCGTGAGCATACTACTGCACTCTAGCCTGAGCAGAGTGAGACTCTGACTCAAGAAAAAAATTTTTTTTTAATAAAACAGAACTTTATTCCCCCAGGTAGCCTCTGTCAGACAAACTGGAAACACCATGATCATTTCTAACTTCCCAATACCAGACATGCACTGGCTAACTGAGATAAGTCCAGAAAGCATAAGTACCATGACGAGGGAGCTGAGACCCATGTCACATGACTTAGACAACCACAGTAACTGAGCACATATGGCCAAGAATGTAAGAACTGTCTTCAAATGAGCAAAGCATTGTTGCACAGTAGAGGAGGTAAACTTTAACTACACAAAAAAGTCAGAGCAGTCAGTAAAAGCTACTTGTGAAGGGAGGTTTCCTTGGTAAAGTTAACTCAAGGAGACAGGCTGCTTCATCTCAAGAAAGGGCAACCACTGGAAAAGTGTGGGCAGAGCCTGGATGGCCACATGTGAACAGTTACACAGCAGGGAAGCCAAAAATGAGTAAGAAATTGGACAACAAAACTTGTGAGATCCTGCCTTCCACTCAAATTCTTTGAGCTAATGAATGTTCACTTAGCCATTTTAAACTGTTTACTAAATGAAAGAAGGCTAGAGATGCCTTACTTAAGGTAAATGTTATACTATGTTCCAGAGAAATGCTTTTTCCACTGCTCAAAGCAGTTTTTGAACACGTCAATTTGGACATCTTTTAGTGCTTCTGCCATTTTTGTTACACCTCTTCCACATAGGCAACACGTTTCCCTTTGAGGACTTTCTTCATCCAGAAAACAAAAAAAAAAGGTCACTTGGGCAAGATCAGGTGAATAGGGAGGGTGGGATATGGGGGTCATGCTGCTTTTGGTCAAAAACTGCTGAATACTCTGCACAGTGTGAACAGGTGCATTGTCATAGTAGAAGAACCAGTTACCTGTTTGCTACAACTCGGGACATTTCTTCCACATATTGTGAAGCAACCCTCTCAAAACTTTCAGATGAAAACTTTGGTTGATGGCTTGATCCAGAAGAACAAATTCCAAGTATACTACAAGCAGCCCACCCTCCAAAAGATAACTCCGGGCTTTTCTGCCCCCCCCCATACTTCATCCTGTGATTTTTTAAGAGACAACTTCAAATACAACCTTCTGCTTCCTGTTTGGCTTCATTTGGTTGTCATCATACTTACAATTCTAGCCATGCTAAGCTGGAGTCCAAACACCAGGTTTAATTCTTTGCCTTTAAACCAACTCACAGCATATGTGTTCTGGGCAACTGCTAAGGACTCCCCACCAATCCTAAAAACAGGAAAAAAGAAAGTCACAACTTGAAAGAAATACCATAGTTAGCAATGCAGCAGGTTTAAGATTTTGACACTTCTCCCATCAAGAGGCAGGGTCTCAAGCCAGGTGTGGTGGCTCATGCCTATAATCCCAACACTTTAGAAGGCAAACGCAAGAGGACTGCCTGAGCCCAGGGGCTCAAGATCGGCCTGGGCAACTTGGCAAGACCTCATCTCTTCAATAAATCAAAAATTTAGCCAGACATGGTGACATACCTGTACATGGAAGACTGAGGCGGAAGAATCACCTGAGCTCAGCAGGTTGAGGATGCAGTAGCCATGAGCATGCCACTAAACTCCAGTCTGGGCAACAGAGTGAGACTCTGACTCAAAAAAAAAAGGCAGGGTCTGTCTTGAATTGGGCTTGTGACTGCTTCAACCAATAGAATATGGGAGAAGTGACACTGTAAGACCCTCAAGGCTGTGTCATAAAAGGTGATGTCATTTTTTCACTCTAAAGCTCTCACTGGGATCCTGAACCACCTTGTAGGAAGGCCAATGCTATGAAAAAGGAAGCCACACCAAGAGGCCACATGAAGTGCCCCAGTCATCAGACCTGATCTTTGAGGCATCCCAGTCCAGGCACCAGACATGTGAGTCAACGAGTTTTCAGAAGACTCCAGCCCCCAGTCTTTCATGAACCTTTCCAGCTGAGGCCCCAGACATCAGGGGCAAGATAGATCGTCCTTGCTATACCTTGTCCAAACTGCTGTCCACAACATCCATGAGCACAATTAAATGGTTGTTTTACACTGCTATGTGCTGGAGTCATTTGATATGGCACAAAAATAAGCGTGACAGGTAATCTGGGTAAAACTATAAAAGGAGTCTGGGTCACTACATCACCATCTAGACTATTCAAAATGTGGATATGAGGAAAATCATCCATGCTCCATGAAAGCATAAAAACTTGGATGGGCAACTGGCTCACACCTGTAATCCCAGCACTTTGGGAGGCCAAGCCAGAAGGATTGCTTGAACCCAGGAGTTCAAGACCAGCCTGGGCAACATGGTGAGACCTTGTCTCTACAAAAACAAAAAATTAGCCAGTGTGATGGTACATGCTTTGTCGTCCTAGCTACTTGGGAGGGTGAGGCAGAAGGATGGCCTGAGGCCAGGAAGTCGAGGCTGCAGTGAGTCATGATCGTGCCACTGGACTCCAGCCTGAGCGACAGACCCCAACTAAAAAAATAAATAAAAACAAAATATAAAAATTCACACTTTTCAGACCAATATGAAAAGTTCTCCATCAATCTACTTCCCCACTCCTATTCACTTTCCATATTCAGCATTCCCCTGCTTTCTGGGTCTTCATTTTCCTTCAAAAAGTTCCACATATTTATCATTTCCCAAGGGCCTTCAGTTAGGAGCCACCTCTCCTCTGTATCCCAACACTGAGCCCACCTTACCACTTTGTCCTAAACCAAAAGTATTTTCCCTTTCTCCTACTAATCCAAATTCTCTAATACTGTCAAGGCCCACTTTGTCCAAGAGGCCATTTCTGGCCACATTTTTGTCTCTAATCCCTTGTCATGTTTTTATGTACATTCTGTTCCCTCCTCTCTCACTTAGGGTACTTTTGGGGATAGGTCCGCACAGGGCTACATGCTCCTGGTACCTGTGAACTGCTCAAATAAATTAGGCTTTTTAGACTGAATTAGTTCCATCATTTGGGTCCTTCAGGGCAAGGGAGCACAAGGCTGGACTCAGAACAGACTAACTGAAAAGACAATGAAATTCAAGTAGGACAACTGGCCTACAGGTATTCACTCAGAGCAGTCATCCTACAGTCTTGTGCTTACTCAAGACTCTAGAACAGGGTTCAAAAGGACCTTCACAGTAGCTGCTAAGAAAGAGTGAAATGTCTATGAATCCCCAACCTAGAAATCAATGGTCTATACTTTTCTAAATGAGGTTTAAATCACTGTCCTCAAGACAACAGAATAGACAAACCACCTAGGAAAAATATCATTTCTAGAGAACCATTTAATACCCAAACCCCACACAGAGTTGACTATGGCCACTGAAAATAATTGATTATTTTAAAGGAAAATTAAGACAACTAAGAAACAGTCTTATGTATATGTAGCTAGAGTTCAAGGATTTAAAGTAATTCCCCAGAAGAGATAATATTTTTTAAAAAATTCTTAATGAACACTAATACAATAATGTTAGGATAAATTAAATTATGCATACTTACCCAAACACAAATCTTCCAAATTCCATGAGCCAAAAGGCATTAAATATCCCACCCAGAGCAAAAACAACCTATAATATAGAATATTTAATGTTGAATCAATGAAAAATTAAATTCAAGTTATTCATGAAAAATAATTAACTTATAACAAATCACAACTTCTATAATGGTTTTATTATTCCTCCTTAGTAAATCAGCAAAATTAAAATTTTTTTAATTTATTTTAATTTTTTATTTTAAAGATGTGGGGTACAATTCAGGGTTAGGTATACAAATGTTCATGATGCAGATACCCGTGTCGATGAGGTATACCACCCCCCTTCCCTGGCAGGTTCCCACTACTGCCAATCCTGTCCCACACCCCCAGCAGTTTCCCACAATCCTTTTCTTATAGTATTACAATAATTGTTCAAGATCTGCTTATGAGTGAGAACTAAAATATTAATGTTCATTTATTTCAAGGCTTAAAACAGACTATGTATTTTACTTTATGGGCACTTATGGGACCTGCTTAATTAAGCAAGGAATGAATTAAATATATCTTTTTCAGTGAAATTAATTCGACAAGAATTCAAAAATCACTGTCAAATAATGAATGTTTGGCCTTCCTTACCTGTCCGATGCAAACAAAACAGCTAAAAATAATTGTGCCCCACCTGTTTCAAAGAGAGAGAGAGGGAGAAATGTCTTAATTTCTTCTTACGTTACTATTAGTAATCACAAAGTCCTTTAGTGATAATTTGCTTTGGTTTTCTTTACCCCCTCTATATTCCCTACAGGGAAAGAAAAATAAAATGTTCCTCTGCCTCTATCAGCCACTTCACTTTCCTAGGTTGAATGCCAATCTACAGAAGTCTAGACTGCTGAGGGGATTCCAGAGGATTTAGTAGGGACATGCATTAGTTTAAACAATTATCATCTCTTAAATAAAATTTATCAAATAATCTTCAGCCAGGCACAGTAACTCAGCCTGTAATTACTCCCTCATACTCTAACTCTCCAAAATCTTTATTTTAGAATCATGAGGTACGTGTGAGGATTTGTTACATAAATATATTGCGTGAAGGCAAAGTTTGGGATTCTGACAAACCCTGCCTCCCTCCCCACACCTGCCCCCAGTAGTGGACATGGTACCCAATGTGTGGTTTTGTATCCCTTATCTTCCACATTCCTAGTACCCAGTGTCTGTTGTTCCTGTCCTTGTGCCTATGTGTGTCCAATGTTTAGTGCCCACTTACTTAGTATGAACATGCAGTATACAGGCTTTTTTCCTGTAATAATTCACTTAGAATGATGCTTTCAAAAATTTTTTAGTTACTCTGGGCTGAGTGCAGTGGCTCATGCCTATAACCCCAGCACTTTGGCAGGCTGAGGCAGGAGGATCGCTTGAACCCAGGAGTCTGAGAACAGCCTGGGCAACACAGCAAGACCTTATCTCTACAAAAAAAATTAAAAATTAGCCCAGTGTGGTGGCATGTACCTGCAGTCCCAGCTAACTGGGAGGCTGAGGCAGAAACTCAGAAGGTTATGGCTGCAGTGAGCTGTGATCATTCCACAGCACTCCAGCCTGGGCAAGAATGAGTCCCTGACTCATTAAAAAAAAAAAAATTACCCCCCCCAAGTCAAAACACTTGAAGTTTCTTCAATCCTTATCCACCATTCTTCATCATCTCAGTCTCTGACTTCTAAAAATATCCCCAGTCTGTATTCCCTTTCAGTCTCCATTAACAACACACACACAATAATAAGGATGAAAAGTGACAAAGTGTATAATGTTATTCTTATTCTATCAGCATTGTCTAGTCCTGATCTTAACTGAAATACCAAGTTTCAAATATCAACTCAGAGATACAGAAATCATTCTTTTAAAGTCATGCAAATTATCACAGTCAATACAGAAATTTGTTTAGTCCTCTCTAGTTCTTTCTAGAAACTTAATCTGTATTTTCCTAATAATCAGGTGAAATTTACCCATAGGTGAGATTTTTTTCAAGCTTACCGTATTCCAAATACTCGGTCTATCAAAAAGCCACCAAGGAAACACAAGACTACATTGGGCCATGAATACCAGGCATACAGTAGCATGAATTTTGTAGTATTCACCTGCATGTCCTATATGGAAAAAAAATAAGACTATTTTTTTCAAACAGTTAAGTTTAGCAACTAACAAATCAAAACATGACCATCTAAAACAGAAAGTGGTTACATTATTCTATCTGTACAGAGCAAGTTTTTTAATCACTTGTAAGCCACTAACTTCTTGAAACTCTCATGATAGCTATGGCCCTGCCTGGAAAAATGGCCACACCTATCCCTAACCACCACCATCCCAGCCTCTGCCTACTCCTACCTCCTTTCTCCTTCATCTAGAATGCAAAGGGCCAATCCATGCATTTTTCCCTTTCCAAAGGTAAAAATCTTACAAAGAAAAAAGACTATCTAAATATCCAAGAAACTGTAACTGTCAAATATATTTTACAGTACAAAACCAGACTAAAAATACTGACATAGACAACCCTCTGCAATCAGTATCCACATTTAAAAAACAAGCTGGACTCGGTGGCTCAACTTGTAATCCTGCACCTTTGGAAGGCTGAGGTGAGTGGATTGCCTGAGCCCGCGAGTTCGAGACCCGCCTGGGCAGGCAAGACCTCATCTCTACAATAAATCAAAAAATTAGCCGGGCGTGGTAGCACGCGCCTGTAATTCCAGCTACTCGGAAGGCTGAGGTGGAAGGATCGCCGGAGCCCAGCAGGCGAGGCTGAGGTGGCCGGAAGTGGCCACTGCACTCCAGTCTGGGCGACAGAGTGAGACTCCAACTCAAAAAAATAAAAAATAAAATAAAATAAAAAACAAAATAACAACTAAAACCTATTTAAAAAGGCAAAAGCTATCATACCAAATCATTTGTGATTCAGATGATTAAGCACTGGAAGAGTGAAATGCAACCAAAAATCATCTAATACGTTGGCAATGCTGTGAAACTAGCACATAATTATTTATCTAAGGTCTGAAACAATTTCAAGTCACACATGTGCTATAAACGAATTCTTTGTGGCGACTTATTTCAACTCAAGAACACCCTTACAGCTTGTGAATTTGGTGACTACAGATGACAAAGTGGATTCAGTGGGCATTTCAGACTAAGAGGTGATAGTGCCTCAGCAGTTCATCAGCTCCAAAGCAAACAAAAGCAGCAAAGGGAAAAGGTCAACTTACCCGTTTCACCTGAGTCTGAAGGGCAGCGGGATTATCATAGCAGAAATAGCTGCCTAGAAAAGGGAAGAGCAAATAATACTTACAAATGTTTATAGGTAATAATACTAACAATACAGAAGTCTCAGGTTGCAATTACTACTGAAATGGTGATTCTAAAAGTCTATACTATGGGCTGACACTACTGAAACATTTTTGGCCCACTTCCTTATCCACCAGTATTTTCTAGGTTGTAGTCAAATACTTTCACAAATTAGTAGCAGGCATATACATCAAATATCAGAAACTCGAGTTAAGAAATCGACAATCAACTGCTTTCCCATTTTACTTTTATCACACATCTATTATTTTATTATCATCTCCATGAAGCTGCTATATTTTCCTTATGTTCTTACTTACAAACACACACAAAAAAATTTACAGCCACAGCAGTTTCCTAATAACGTTGGAAGAGGCAGTCACTTATCTTAAGCACAAAGGAAAGAAGTTTAGCCATTGTGACTAAATCAATATTTGAAAAGAGTTATAACTGTACAAACTATCCAAGATCAAATCATTTAGTGAATATAGTGCCAGGAATGAAGAAAAACAAAACTGACAATTCTAAAAGATTAAATTAAAACATTATGTCTCTTGGGGGGTTAGAAAGAGAGAAGTGGAGAGAGATGTGGTATTCACGCACTCGGGTTTATTTTAAAGGTCAATAATTGACAGGTTATTTGGTAGGCCACAAGTCTCCATTGTGCTACTTACTCTACAAGTACATGAGGCTACTAGTTTGAATGGAGTTAAAGTTGTCATTAAAAAGGTATGAATCTGGCTTCTGAAACCCAGGCAGATAACCAGAATCTACCAAAAATAATCAGCTAGAGTAACAATTGTTTAAAACTGTTTTGTTATTTTTCTTGGGATTTTTGTTTGCTTCTAAACCCAGAAGCTTCTGGTTCCTACTTTAATCGCTTATGAGAGATTCAATGCTTGAAAGCTAATGAGTGGGCAAAGATGTTGCCCACTCATGTTCCCAAAAAAGGGGGGGAGGGTGCAAAAGAGTTGGAAGGAAACCAAAAGCCCAAAGCTTCCTTCACGTCTACCTATACATCCCAGCACTAGCATTCAGCCACCACAATGTTCCTAAACCTGCTGATGACATGGGTTCTAGCGACTCTCTCCACTCTCCTAAAAAATACATTCACACCACACTAAAACTAACATCAGAATAGTTGCTTAATAAATTTTAAAACTGTAACACAGGAAGGAAACTTGCTTTTTTAAATTATCTCAAGAATAAACTGCTTTCAAAGTCATTAGATTTCGTAAGTGAAACCAACCACCGCCAAGCCTACTGCAAGTCCAGTCCAGTGTGATTGATTGCTCAATGGTGGCAAAGTGGATGGATAAGAGAACATAATCCCTTGCTGAAGTATCAGCAAGTCACATTAATACATTTTCTCAAAAACAGTTAGGAACGCCGGGCATGGTGGCTCAGCCTGTAATCCTGCGCCTTTGGGAGGCAGAGGTGAGTGGACTGCTGAGCCCGTGGGCTAGAGACCCGCCTGGGCAACTTGGCGAGACCTCATCTCTACAATAAATCAAAAA